CCAGATCTCCCACATGGGGCAGAGTCCCATGCACTTGGGCCATTGTCCTTTGCCCTGCCATGCCGTATCAGAAAGCTGAATTGGAAGTATAGCAGCTGGGACATGAATTGATGCCCACAAGGTTTTCCAGCACCACAGAGCAGAGGATTAGCCTACTGTGCCATGGTGCCTGATTTTCCCTTTTTTTTTAAAAGAATAATATCTAAAGAGTATACTATTGTTATAATAAAGGAGAAAAAGGGGGTGGGAGGAGGGAAAAGTTGGAAGGGGATATCCCTGTGCCTATGAAACTGTATCATGAAAAGTAAAATTGAAAAAGGAGAAAATTTCAGTTAGTAGATGAGAAAAAAATAATTCACACACATTTTACATTTTCTTTATCTACTCATCAGTTAACCGATTCTATCTTAAAAAAAAAAAGATTTATTTTTATTGGAAAGGAAGATTTACAGAGTGGAGACAGAGAGATTTTCTATCCACTGGTTCACTCCTCAAATGGCTGCCATGGCCAGAGCTGGGAAGGTCCAAAGCCAGGAGTTAGGAGCGTCCTCCAGGTCTCCCATGTGCGTTCAAGGCCCCTTGGAGTTGAGCAGTCATTTGTTGCTTTCCCAGATCACAAGCAAGAAGACTTGTATTTCTACAGGGTTGGGCCCACATTTCCCCCACAGAATCTACCCCCAGACCTGGTTCTATTATGTGCTGGTTAATGTCTTGACTCTGCCAAGTATGACCCATTCAGTGTTCCACCACTCAGTCAGGTACTGGTACCTAGCCCTGCCAGACAGGCCCCCATCCATAGCTTTCATGTGGACTGGTGTGTGGCAGTCAGTGATGCTCTATGCTAACAGCCCATCTCAGGATTCCCATGTGGGCTAGTGAATCAGTCTGACCCAAACAGATCTTATGGACTCTCCCCTCCAAACCACCAGGTCTCAGTCCCCATGCTTGCCAGAAAGTTCTGTGACCCCGTTGCTGGGAATCACCCAGAATTCATCCCTCACCTACACTCACACTAGCCTTATTCATGGGTGTCCCTAGGCAGCAATTACATACCCTAAAACCCCAAGACTCGCTGCCGGGCAGCCAGCAGGCAGAGCCTGGCATCACTTGATGTGCTAGCCAGGAGTCAGGAGTTTCTTCTGGGTCTCCCTGAAGAGGTCAGGGCCCCAAGGCTTTGGGCCACCCTCCACTACTTTCCCAGGCCACAAACAGGGAACTGGATAGGCAGTGGAGCAGCCAGGACATATACTGGCGCCCACATGGATTTCCAGCACATGCAAGGAGAGGAGTTAGCCACTGAGCCATTGTGCTGGGCTCTCAGTACAGAGTTTTAAAATTCATAACTCACAATTGGTTGAATCCGTAGTTGCAGATCCTGCAGATACAGAGGGCTGATTGTATTTTATTTTGTCATGTGCTATATATTTTTTGTTGGGACCCTGTCTGATATTATGGCCATCCAGAGACCTCCAATGATATTCATTTTGGAGCACAAACTGCTCTACAGTCTGTCATATTCCTCATAACCCTTTTGGAACCTCCAGAAATGCTTCGTCTCTTCTGTCCTGCACTTAAAGAACTTTGTGAAGCAGGTCTTTCAATTCTTTTTCCCTTGCCCATTGTCTCCAATTCTTTTATCTGCCTTCTCTCCCCATGCCATGTATACACAAATACCTACATGTGCATTTCGCTTGCTGAACACAAGATAAATCACATTTCTGTATGATTTGGCTAAATTATGTTATTCTGTGTAAAAGTGTAAGTGGGAAGTTAAGAAAATTAAAGAGGAACCAAGCTACTTGGAAATGAACTGGAATCCTAAGACCCTCCACTCATCCCACACCCCCAGTAGACCTCATGTCAGGACAGCTTCCAAGAAAACTCCTGCCTTGCCTCTGAATTGCATAAAAGACTGAAAATATTTCCCTTTATTTGTAGTTGCTACTGGAGATTTGCTCTGGGTGACAGTTAATAGCCAAATGTTCCTTGAAATCACATAATCAGGCTTTCATCAAATGTTCATAGTTGTTCTTTAGATTTCAGTTCCATCCTCCCACCTTTGAAATTATTTTGGTATATCTCTCCTATACAAACAAGCAGAATGAATTATACCAGGATTCAACCTTGATGAGGAATGGATAGTCTGACAAAGCAGTCTTTTAAGAAACCGGAGCAGGGTGACCACAAAGGGCAAAATGCCCAGAAGTAAGACACCGTTTACTTTCCCTCTCCTGTAGCCAAACCCCAGGAGTAGAAAAATTATGTGTGAGGATAGAGAAGAAAAACACTTTTCAACGAATAGATTGGCAGTTGTCAAGTTTTCCACCTATGTTTGGCCAGTATGCCTGTGGGAAAGTCAGTGATGTAGTCTAGAAAGAGGAAATTATAGCTTTCTTATTTATTTAAGTTTATTGTTGTCAGCAACTCCTTCAGACAATATAAACATTTTCTACATGAAGAATCCCAGCAAATAGACGTCCAAGAAAGGCTACTTTAGGATCATGATTCTAGAGGGTTGGAAAATGAAAAATCGCAACCATAGTATATCATTGACAAAATTATGAAGGCGTTTGGAAGTAGTATTTCTCACTGACAATCAAGTAAAAACAAGTGCATTACCAAAGATGACAGACAAATCACATCCTGATATGGCACAGTATGGGAACCTGGTTAAATTAATCGTCTGAATTCTATTGGACAGTCAGAATCTAATATTAATGAAAATATTATCATATCCAGTTCTGTATAATAGAGCTATCTTTCAGTTTCCTGACAACCCAAATTGTCTTAGCACCCTTCAATATTTCTTTGAAACTGTGGACATGATATATTCTTTTGAATGAGAAATGTTGTATGACAAAAAAATTCATAATTCCTTGTCTGTTTAAAAGGCAACATATTTAACATGTATTTATAAAATATAGCACCAGTTGGGTTCCCATGAATTTTAGCTATTATGACTCAGATTTGACATATTTTCAAAATGTTTGGGATATTCTTCATTTTTTTTTTTTAAAGAAGATACTTCCTGGTAATCAGCTGCTCAGAGTAGAAAGAGCACTGGACCTGGAGTCAGATGCAATGCAGGTTGTTCTTCTAAATGCTCTCTAATGTTCTTTCCAGATCTAATGTTCTATTGTCTTTTATAACTGCATCTTGAGAGTTTGTCTGAGATAACTTTTTAAATGGCTAGGTTGTATTTTTTCATTTTTAAGGTTAGTTTTGAAAATTGAATTTGTTAAGGAAATGGATTAATAGCAGAGAGTTTCACTGTTTTAGTGTATTTTCTGTAGATCATCTGTTGTGTGTTACCTATCACGTTTTAATAATGGTCAGTACTCCCTGCATCCCACCTCTGCCAATAAGACTTGAAAGGTATCTGGAAAGGAGATTGCAAAGAGCAGTAGCAATCCTTTCTGCCACAAGGCCAAGGGAAATACACTGTGGTAGAGACTTGATTGATGTAGTATATTCGTATAACTGGCAAGGATTTCCAAGACTGGATAGCTTAGAATTTCCTAAATGAGTTCACTTAACTAAATGATGCTCTTATTTTTCAGAGTTCCTTCTTCCCAACCTTGTGTTACATCTACTGACCAATAGAAATCACAAGCTGAAAGTGTCTAGAATTGATCTCAACATCATCTTCTCCAAGTCAGCTTTCCTCTTAAATTCTCAGTCTTGCTCATCATCACTACCTCATGGGTTCTAGGTACACTCAGAATTTTGGAGTCATTCTCAACTCCTCCTTCTCCTTCATTTCCCACTGTCCAGTCTTGTCTCTCCAATTCACCCTTTGTATTGGAGTTGTCAAAGCGTTTTTTCTAAAATGTAAATATGATCACAGAGCTTTCGTGATTCAAATGCTTTAATGACTCCTTTTTCACCTGCTAGGTAAAACTCAAAGTCCTCTTTCAGTCCCTGAATATTTCTCTAACCCAGTCTCCCTGATATCCTCCTTAACCTATAATACTCCAGTTATATGAACTTCTCAGTTACCTAAAATCACTGTGATCTTTTCATGATGTTAGCTTTGCATGTGAAGTTTACTTTGCAACTTTCTCATCTTGAGGTAGACATTTTTCCTCATGTTCCCACAGGATTTCCCCATACTAATTTTATAATGCTTGTCACATTATGTTGCAGTCAGTTGCTTGTCTACTCACTAGTCTTCACTACCAGACTGCTAGTGCCTTGTTTTAGCAGAAAGTAAACCTTGTAGAGGAGATTCAAGCTCTGGATGCTTCTAGAAGACACTTAAGCTTGCTTTGGACCCCGAGATGCTATGCTATTTTTCATGCTCACCTCTCCTTGTTGCAGCCCTCCCCCTGGTGGAGGTGTTCGGAAGTAGTGTAATGGTCACCATCTGGATAAACATCTACTTTAAGTCATTTTCAAGGTAATTGCAAAAGAATCTGGTGTGCTAATGAACCTTAACTTCAGGATGGGTTGACAGGAGCTTTCTCTCTTGTCACCTATTATTTAGCAGATTCTGATTTCAGCCCCCAGAGCTGTAGCTGAGGGTCAGTGCATCCAATAGTAATGGTCTCAAAAAACATCACACTACTGTGAAACAAATAGCCCAAGAAGAATTAGCTGGTAGAAATCTTATGTTTTCTCTTCTGCCAGAAGCCAAGACAAAACTGTTTGCTGGAATGTTTACCTTTGTGAATGATTCTAAGACACAGCAAGGAATCAAATACTAATCCCATCCATATGTTAAGTGGTCTTCCTAATTGCAGTGAACTCCACCTTCCGAAAAAGCTGGGGATAAGACAGAAAAGATCTTCACATCCATCTCAGAACAATGTGTCGTTATCATTACTTTCTATTCCAATTGATGTTGACCTAGTGTTTGAATCAATATTTAGCTGTTTATGGAAGGTAGCCAGTTCTTTAAATATCCCTGGATATAGAGTTTCATAGGTATAGCATTCCTATGAGTTGGTGTGAGTGGTGATTTCCAAAGAAGGACCTTTCTGAACAGGTCAAAAAAAAAAAAAAAAGAGAGATCATAACCTGGTTAGAAGGAATCTCATGTTGAAAACCAATAATATTTTAGAAAACATGATGAATTTATAATTGTTATAGAAATTTTCCTGACCAGGGGTTTTGTGAACTTTCTCAAATACTATATTTACACTTAGGGAGACTTCTAGCAGCAAGAATGGTTTTTATATTCAGGTAGAGGGAAGGGAAATTAATCTGTCTGTCATCAGGAGAGACTACCTCTAAAAATCCCAACCAACTCCCACAATATATTTTTATACACATGTCAAAGGTAAAGAAAGATGATCTGCTATTTTAGGTATCTATCTGGCTGTGTCCTAATAGAAGAATTCAGGTGCTTCCAGGGATAACATGAAGTAAAGCAGAAACAGAACTGGAGTGAGTATCCCCCTGAAGTTCTTAGGTTTCAATGTTCAGGGTAAAGATTACCCTACCCACGAAACGATCATTGAGGACATCATTTATGATGCCTTTGCCCTTCAGCTGGCATTGCACAGGTACCTCCTGGTTCTTCACCACGTCTGTAAAATGCATTGCTACCAAGGGGGAGGTGTAGTTAACCTGTAAGTGGAAGAATAGTGAGTTAATTCTAAGTGGGGGAAAGTGGTAGAAATGAAGTAATCAGCTATAAACCTCCGCAAAGAGAACTGACTGTCATGCTGCCAAGTCACAAATAGCCACAGCAACTGATCTACTCTCCCTGCCTTATGAACATGTGGGGAAATTACACATTTCTCTCATAAGTCACTGTCAAATATCTGATTATCCTCTGGGGAGAACAATTGTGACTCAGTGTAATATGGTTTTCTTGCTATCAGACTATGAATCAAGCCAGAACTAGTATCTATCAAGTTAGCCGCACTTCCCCAAGGCTTCAAATGAGAGAAATAAGGAAGTGTGATTATTTGGGTATGACTGAGCACAATGGTAGTAACTTATCTGCTCTGCCACTAATTTTAATTTCTCTTTGTGAATCCCAATTTACCTATCTAAAAATTGAAAGGGTTAGATCGCACTGAGGCTTGTTCAGATATGGGAAGTCTGTGATGAAACTGGTGAAAAGAGCCTGATTATGGTCAGCAGCTATTCACCCCACCATTACTACCTGCTGCTCCCTAATATTCATAAATCTCAATCAGCCCTTCTTTGTCTTTGAGGTCTTTCTGACAACAAAAACTGAAGAGGATACAGCTTACATGAGTCAGTTTGCCATAGTAGGGGTAGTAGCGGAGATCAAAAGAAGCTGATTCTGGGTAGTAATTGATGGATCGGATGTTGTTTTCATCACCTCTCTGTAAGAAAAAACAGAAAGAATGCAAGTGCGGGGTCATACAGTGGATTGGAGTTTGAACTAAAGGGACTTTTGTAAAAATCAGGTGAAATCATTGTGTGACTCCACAACCAGCTGTTCTGAGAAGACCATGAAAACAGAAAGGGGCCAGAGTTACCTGTGATCATTCTGCAGTACAGTATTTCCAGAGTGGCTGTACTTTGGCTTTTTAGTAAAAAAAAAAAAAAAAAAATACTGAATAGAATCTGAGCTGAGGAGGCCAAAGGTTCTCAGTATGGCTCCATGTTGGTTTCTAGGGGACCTAGACAGAAGGGCTCCTCCAACGGGTCTTCAGTACCTGATGCTGTTCTGGAACAAGGGTCTGGCATCCCAGTCTCTCTTCAGAGAATCATGCTAGATCTGATAGACAGTCTGGGTCTTTGAAGTGAAGCAAGTATAATTTGAAACACATTTTAGAGGTAGACACTATAATATACTGACTCAGGACACTTGTATTCCATGCTTAAGTGCTTGGTTTGAGTCCCAGTTACTCTCTGCTTTCAATCTTACTTTTTGCTAGTGCATCCTGGGAAGGGGTGGATGGTGGCTGAAAGTGCCTAGTTCCTATTACTCATGTGTGGGAGACTCATATGGAGCTCCTGGCTCCTGGCTTTAGCCTGGCCCAGCTCTTGCTGTTGTAAACATTTGGGAAATGGACCATCTCTTTCTTTGTCTCTGCCTCTCCTTCTGTGCCATTCTCCCTTTCAAATAAACAGATGAATCTTCTTTCAAAGATGTATTTCATAAACCCCATGTCACTACTTGTACACTGCAGACTTGGTTCTGTTGGAAGTCAGATCAGGGACACAGGGACCTGATTCACAGGCACAGCCTACTCTTCATTCACTTAAACTCATGTCTCTGATCACATTTTCTGTAGAGCTTAATTACATAGGAGGGGTCATGAGGTTGAGATAGAGATGCAAGTAATGGAAATTGTTGAAGTAAACAGGTCTACCCTCGTCATATTATGTCTGGTGGGGTTACCCTTTCTGTATACGCATTAGGCACACCCTAAATAGCAGAGATCTGGGCTAATAAGGATAAATAGTGCATCACTACTAGCAAATCACTCACTATAGTCATATGATTACTTCAGTCAATGTAATGTAATTGCTCTTGGTATTAACTGAGCTCTCCATAATTTATGCTAGTCATTACCTCATCCAGTTCGATTTCCACAAGTGGGTGTGACTTGGCCTGTATTGATTATTATATAGAATGTACACAGACTTTTAATGTTTCTTTCTTTGAAATGACAGTTCTTAGCTAGGTTCAATGTAAGCTGCAAAAATAAACAGCTTCCATTAGAGAACTACAAGCAGAACTCAATCTAGTTAATATGGTAGTTTAAGATGGAGTTGGTCTTAATGATTTATTGATTTATTCTTCTAAAAAGCAATGAAGCTTATTTTTCATGAACAGCTTGTGCAATCAAATCTACCAGATTGTATGCACATCCCACAGGTGGAATATTTCTACACCTACACATACATGATTGTCCTTCCTACCTTGTTCATGGGACAAATTCTACTGACCTTTCAAAGCTGACCTGCAGTGTTACCTCCTCTCATATGCAGTTGACATTTCTCTCTTCAGTGTCCCTTTGTACCTTTAATAGAACCTGTAATACTTGATTGTTCTAGTTTCAGAGACAGGGTCATATATAACTTGGCACAAACACGTAGAAAAGCAACTGGTATGTTATAAGTGATCAATGAATAGGTGCTTGCTAGCTGTGGGATATTGGCTCAACAAATGTTGACTTTTGTTGTTTTCTGATGTGTCACCATAAAGACTGGAGCTTAAAGCTGTATTTTTAAATTAAGGGAGCTCATGAAGCCTTGTCTAAAATTTATTTATTTCAAATTTTTGCTTGAAAGGAAGAGAGAGAAATCTTCCTTTCACTAATTTGCTTCCCAAATGCCCTCAAATATATAAGTCTGGACCAGGCTGGAGTCAGGTGCCTAGAACTCAATCTGAGTCCCCGACATGGGTTCAACTATTTGAACCATTTCCTGATGCTTCCTTAGGGTGTACATGAGCGGGATGCTGGGAGTCAGGACGAGAGTGTCATAAGCAGTTGTTAACCCGCCCCTGGAACTGTATTTCTAATGCTGAGAATATGATTACCTGATTTTGTACACCTCTGAGGCAGTTATCCAGGTCTGGGGGAGGGGACAGTTGATATAGAATAGGAAGGAGCTACTGCTAGTTTAAGAAGCACAACCAAGACTTAGAGATTTTTCCTACAAAGAAGCTAATTGGGACAGAAGAGATAGGAGCTCTGTTTATGCTTTCCTTGTAGGCATTTGTTATTGCAACACCCAGTGTCACTGGTCATTGCCGCAAAATGTTAAATTCAGTTTTAAAATTAGGGTCTAACAACTAGTGAAGGCTGTTTGTTTAGTTCAAAGACACAACTAATTAGAACTAAAAGCAAAAAGTACAAACAGAATTCTAATGAATAACTTGAGAGTTTGTTGTTCCCTGCTGTGTTCCCTAGCCTAGGTTCAGTCTTTGGCTTTTCACAGATGTAAATACGCACACACACGACACACACAGACATTGCATGTGTAAACACACCTGAATTGAATGCTTTCTGGAAATAAGAGGCCTTGCTTGATTGCACTAAAGGGAGATGCAGTTATGACAAGATTAGCCTTTTCCATAATTTTCCATCTACATGTAATACTTGCAAGAATCAGCTACTCTTTTGCACGAAACAGACATGTTATTAATGCTTATTCAAATGGATACTTTACCTGAACTTTGCAGGAAACCTTCACAGGATCTCCAAGCTCAGGACGAAAGCCTACAATCTATCCAAAGAAAAATCAGTGTTTTTTTTTTTTTTTTTTTTTTTTAAGTAATGGTAAAAATACAGGTTTTCTAAATTTTTTTTTGAGTCATCTTTCCTCTAGTTTGCTCTCTGAAACATTGCAAGCAGCAGAAAATGCAAAACATCTTCAAAGCTGTGCCACTTGGTTTAGTCATGGTTATATTCTAATTCTACACACAGTGGAAACTGAATCAGGATAAGCCTGAAAATCTAAAAAAACTTTCTGATTTCTGCAAGAGCAGTGTGCCTGATAAGACTCTGCCTCAATGAAAGCTTGGCAGACGAGAAGCAAAAGGTGTTTTTACGCTACAAAACTGTCTCCCATTCTACTTCCTATGACAATCCCTTGTTCTAAACAGTTCAGGACCTCATCCTTGACAGAAGCCATGAAGGGCAGAATTGGGGTGGGAGAGAATAGTAATAGGAAGTGTTCAGGTTAGAAAAAGGAATAAACAGGTCTGTTTGCCTATATTTATGATGTCAGTAAAAATAGTCAAACCCATGTTATGGGAATGCATGAAAACAGGTCCAAAGAGTAAGGAGTGACCATGTCTCTTCCTACCCCACTTGTATGCTTATTACCACCAAATACCAAGGACTCATGTACCCGATTCATCTTTAGGAGGATGCAGGGCTGTCCAGTAGAGTATCCAAAAGTTGGATCCTCCAGACCAGAGCAGTTCTTCAGGAAGGAGCGCTTAAATTGGCAGGCCTTCTTGTCCTCATCCTCATCGCCATCTTGGATAAAGTACTGCCCCGGAGGACAATCTACATTCATTTCTTCTTGAAGACTGTCGTTATAACCTAAAGCACAGGGTCTCAAAGTTAGGGTCCTTTATCATTGAGTGGAATGTAACATGTGACCAAGATAGACGTATTAGGGAAAAAGGTGAAAGGGGCTGTGTGCTGACTTTTTGGGTGACCAGATGCTATAAAACTGGGCTTTGGAAATGACTGTTTTATTGCTAGTTTGGTTCTCAATGCTGAAGCCCAGGTAGTCCTGCTAGATATGGCTCTTAGTTCAAAGTAGCTCAGATTTTCAGAGGAGGCTGTATGCCTGTGATTCACCAGAAGAAAATTCAAAATGTATCGCTAGATTCTCATCTAGAAAGTTTGTGTCTTGGGTTTCATATTATGAAGATACAATCGGGAATTTTAGATATACTAGATATATTCCATTAAGCTTTGCCTTTGTTTTTCCTTTGATAAAGCTGCATTCAATTCAAGGCTTTGTTTCATTCTTTCTTTTTTTAGAACAAGAATTACATTTAAATAATATCTTTCTAAATAGAAGGTGTAATCATGTGCTCATTGTTTCTTTTGAGGTTGTCATATTAAAAATAATATGACATGGAGTTGACCTTCATTGCAAAATCCCAGTCCTCATGGGAACGAAACTGATACTCTGGGATGTCTATTTCAGAGATGTGCTCCTTTTTAGCAGGGCATATTATCTACTCTTAGGGGCTAAAAGTCTAGCACCTTTCCTAATGTTTCTTGCATCAGGTTAAAATTGGTATTTCTCTATCTACTAGCTTGGAGGGATTGTTTCAGCAGAGATTTTGGTAACATACATTTGCAATAGCTCATGAGCATTTCACAACAGCAACAAAAAGAGACATTGTTGTTCTGGGTATGATGCCCAAAACATTTTGTAGCCCTAAATGAAACTTTATGAACACAGATTGAATTCCTATCATCCTTATTTTACAGGTAAGGAACTAAAAGTTCAGACTTACCTAAAATGACATTGAACATTACTTATATAAAGCCGAGTTTCTAACTCATGGTCATACAGCAATAGCATAGAATTATGAAAAAGCAGTACTTCTTGAAGTCTCAGGTTCAGTCATCACCTGTGGATTTTGTTAAAATGAAGATTCTGACTCTGCAGGTCTAGAGTGGGCTCTATGATTGTACCTTTCAAAAAAACTTGCAGGTAATGCCCTGCTTCTGGTACCTGGATAACACTTGAGTAGCAAGGGTGTCAAGAATATTGAAGTCAGCTCAAATCGTAGTTCTGTTGCCCAAGTACCCTTTCTGGGTCTCAGTTTACCCATTTAAAAAATTGGGGACTATCAACTGTACTATGCAGGGATAAAGATGAATTTCACAATTATACATTTAAGTAATACTTCCTCACTGATGATTAGAGATTAATCTCTTCCTAATTCAGTGTACATTCTACTAGCTATTCCTACCACACTCCCAATTTAAGCCAGGTCAGGACAACTAAGCAAATCTGACTGAGATTCTTTTCCCACACGTAAATATTAGCGGTGCCAAAGCAAGCCTCACAGGAGCTGTTCTTTGAAAGTTTGATAAATACACAACCTGCATGCTCCATGTATAAGCTGAGCATTTATCCTGTGAAAAAGGTGCCCACAAAGCCATTCATTTGGTCCTCAAAACATGTTTGATGGTCTTATAGAGTTATAATCTTCCAAATATTTGGAATCAAGATGTGAAAATCAAGTGATTTACACCCAGGGATTCTTCCTCTAACTCCTTTCCAGAATGCTGCTAAATGCACTTGCTCTCTCCATTTAGCCCTTCTCCAAGCTCTTATCTTGACAAAGTATAGAAGATAGGAATCTGGAGATCATTATCCTTTTCTCATTACTCTCTCCCCTGGGAATTTCTTTTATAAAGATTATTCTGAATCACCTGGATATGCCCAGGATGTGAATAAGTGCTATAGGCTATTCAAGAAGAGAAAACAAGTTCTCCATTTCAAAAAGTGTTTTGTAGGATCCATATGATAGCCTAGTGGCTAAAGTCCTCACTTTGCATGTCCCAGAATCCCATATGGACACCGGTTCTAACCCTGATGGCCCCACTTCCCATCATGCTCCCTGTTTGTGGCCTGGGAAAGCAGCCAAGTACGGCCCAACACCTTGGGACCCTGCACTCACATAGGAGACCTGGAAGAGGTTGTGGGCTCCTGGCTTAGGATTGGCACAGCACCGGCCATTGCAGCTGCTTGGGGAGTGAATCAACAGATGGAAGATCTTTCTCTCTGTCTCTTCTCCTCTCTGTATATCTGACTTTTCAGTAAAAATAAAATAAATCTTTAAAAAAAGCCCTTATTTTATTCCTGGTGGGTGACTTGTATGCTTTCAAGGCAATGTACAGTCACATGCTACAGCATGTTTGGTTGTAGCCACAGGTGCTGAGTGGGATGCAAAGTATATAAGATCACAGTGGGTTAAGGTTATTTAAGACTGGGATTTCTGAGCCAGGTGAATTTTGGATTCCCCCCCCTCATTATTTTTTCAAAAGAGCTCTCCATTATTCCAAGGAACTTACTTACCCTGGAGAAAGCCATTTAAGCTAATCACATAATGCTGCCAAGTGTCAGGTTCAGAAACGTTGAAGTTGAAGTTAAGGCTATGGGCGAAGGGTCTGATCATAACTCCTGGCAACAAAAATAGGTTTTGGATATATTAACCCATTCTTGGGATAATTTTTGTATTGATTTTGATGAAACCGTTTCCCCCCAGGCAATCAAAATGAAAAGGACCATAATTTGCCAAGTACCATTTTACTTTTACTCTTAATAATTGAATCTAAGTCATTACCGGAAAGAGCCAAAGTTAATTGAGGCTGAACATGCTGTGCAAGCAGATTAGAGTCCAGCAAGTTCTGACAACACAGGGCATTTGAGTACACTCACCAGGAGGCTTCACACGCTCAGTGAAGGTTGGCAGGTATGGACTGATGGTTAGAAGTAGAGAGTACATGAAGAGGGTGATCACAGCAGCCAGGGAGGCATAGAAGAGGAAGTAAATGACTAAGATCAGGCCTGCAGATCAATCAGAGGTGACACTGGTCAGTGCTTGCAAAAAAGCCATGACTGCCACTTGAATTCATGAACCAAACACAAACTGACTTTAAAAAACAAAGCTCCCAGATACAGTATGCCCTTACTTATTTAAATTTCACCAATTTGGAATCCTGTGGATTGTATCAGGGGTCTGATTGTAGTTTACCTTTACAGCATCTCCAATGGAAGGGCTTGCTGTGCAAATGATGACCATGAACGAAATTGTAAGAGAATAGAGGTTGGAGTACTGAAGAAGGCAAATTGCTTGAGAGTCCTTTGGGCAATGGTTGATGTCCTAAGTACAAATCATTCTTCACTATTCATTAAAAAGCAGATGCGCTGAAGAGTCCTAGCTGCTTGATTCCAGTGATTATATGTATTTGAAAGTGAGGAAAATAGCATTTCTTGTCACATAGTCTATAATTCAAACTTTTGATTAATTTCAACTGGACTTGCTTCTGATCAAGGCAAAGTGAAGTTTTACCCTATTTATTTCAAATATTATCCATCTTTCAAAAAGTTTAAGTGGTCCTGCTCTTCAAAAAGAACACTAATGCAAGATGGAGAAGGGAGGAGGAAGAAGTGGTATTTAATCATTGACAATTGCCACTGAACTTGGGCAGGTTTATAGATCCTTTATGAACTCCTAATTCTTCATAGGTAAATGGAGATTAGTTTAGCAATACTTCAGATCCTTATCAATACCTGAATAACCAACACTTTAAAAAATACCTGAAATGCAGCATTTCTCGTGCCTGATTCTCACTATCCTAATTTTCTAGCTGTTTAATCTTGACCATGATGTTTGTCTTTATTTCTTTTGGTCTCAATTTCCTCATCTGTAAAATAAGAACAATGATAGTCCTTGTTTCTTGGCATTTAATAGTCCATAGAGGGGTCCCATGTGAAGGTTCAATTGACTAAATCCTCCCCTTGCAAGCTCCAGGATCCCATAAAGGGCCCTGGTTCATATCCTGGCTGCTCCACTTTTCATCCAGCTCCCTGCTTGTGGCCTGAGAAAGCAGTGGAGGATGACCCAATGCCTTGGGTCCCTGCACCCATATGGGAGACAAGGAAGAAGCTCCTGGCTTCTGGCTTTGGATCAGTTCAGCTCTGGCCATTGTGGCCACTTGGGGAGTAAACCAACAGATGGAAGATCTTTCTGTCTCTCTTCCTTGTAAAGATCTGCCTTTCCAATAAAAGTAAGTAAGTCTTTAAAAATCTGCATGAACATCATAACACAGAAATGGCAGGTACCAAGTGCTGTATAAAATGGCAATCATCATCACTCTTATTATTACTATACTGATATTAGCATAGTTATATGAATTTCTCCAATGTGATCTGTATTAGGACTAAGTTTGCTTCATGATTAAGGAGCACCAAGTAATGTGAATGACTGTTATCACTGCCAAGCAGCCCTTTTCAAGGCCTCCTTGGGGATCCTTCCTCAAGCAGCAATGTTTTGGCTCTGCTCACAGCAGGGCTATGATGTCAGAATTACAGATCTGATTGAAATCATGAACCAGAAACTAGAATGAAGCAGATAACTGCTGTATCCAAAACTGAATCCAAATAGTAATTCTTAAACCATGAACCAAATGAAATTAACCATAAAAAAAGGAGTGGAAATAGGGAGAGAAAAAAAAACATAATCCAAATAGAAATGGAACTGAGACGTTAGGTTTTACAAGATAACCTAAAGCAGAGCTGGATCATGAACACATGATTCAGTTGGAGTTCCTGGAGAACAAGAGTGCTCATATGCCTGTGGTATTGGATATTGCCTGATTGCTGTCCTAATGGCCTCTGCTTCCTCCTCCGTTCCTGCACTCCCACTCCCATCCTAGCAATGGATCAACTTTTGGGGCCATTCTGGAGGAAAAAGTGACTCTGTTTCAATGATGCAGGGAAAGCAGTAGAACATGGGTACATTCTTTTGATGAAGGTATCTTCCATTTTCCCCCAGCATGTGTGTCCAGGAAGCTATAGATGGGAGAATGGCATTAGCAGTGAGTTCTTAGCCTTGCTCAGAGGTAAGATGTGGTACTCTGGAGTCTACTGTAGACTACCTCAGTCAGTCCCAAGGAAACACTAAGCACATGTGAACCAAGTGTCTTCCCAACCCTTTCTAATACAGATATCCAACTTTTACTTGGACCATTCCTCTAGATAATCTAGGGTTCTGTCCAGATTGTCTCACCCAGGTGTGGCCCACCAAATACTAATGCTCCCAAATCGCCCATCGTTCCACCAAAACATTCTATCAAGTCCTAAATCTGTACTCATGAAGGCCTTTTTCGTTGTTAGACTTCGTGAAAGATGGTTCAATATTCTGGCTAGAGAACTGATTTGGTGTTAATCCAACCTGGGTTTGAATCCCAGCACTGCCATAAAGTAGCTATGTGACTTTAGACAAGTTGCCCTCTTTAAGCATTAGTTTCTGTATCTATAAAATGGGGATAATATTACTACCTCATATAGTTCTTGCCAGTAGGCAATAAAACAATATATAATTCCTAATGGTAGAGCTTGTTGCCAAATTACCAAAGGAACAACCTGGAGGCAACCCCTATATTATTAGGTTGGCTGACTATTTTAGACATGTTGATACCCACACTGAGACAGAGATAGAAAATGTTCAAATGGACATCTTACTAACCTTGCTCACCTTGCTTTATGGTCTGGTCATTAACATTACTATGTTTCCTTTGCCCAGTGGTGGTCCAAAAGAAGAGGCCTGAATTTCTTTTCTTTCCTTAGTTCCATAACCCAGAGGTCTGCCTATGGTTTACAGTGCAGTATCTCCACTATTGTATCTTCCCTGAACACTTGAACTCTGTTTTCTCATACCTACAAATTGGCCTATGAATTGTCCTCCATAAGAGTAAATTGGATCAGCTCATCTGTTGAAGTTCCAGAGTGCCAGTTTAGGGGTTAATGTATAGCTTCTCCTCTCATGATCACATTTTGCACTGCACAAGACTATTTTTTCTGATTCTCTTAGGCAAGGGAGGAACAGCTGCATCCCTTTGGAGTCCCAATGAGTGTCCAGCATTTGTCTGCAACTCCTAGTATGTTGGAATGCCTCATAAATGGCCCATTTGTTCCAGTTGAGAGTTGGAGGGATGGGCATGGGTGGGACTGGGAACTGAGGAGGAGCAACAAGAGATGGGCGTTGTTCAGAGGCTCACACCTGCTATTCCTAATTCCAGGAACGAGGTCCGGCTGTTTCACCCTAACTGAGCTGAATTAGCAACAGTAACTATGAAGGAGAGAATTTTCATCCAAAGAGTGTTTTGGAAGGCATGGCTACCAACTTTGGCAATCTAGACTCTTGGCACTAAAGAGTTCTTATTTCATCCATGGTGTCCTCTTTCTTTCCCTCCTATGAATTAACTGAGTTCCAAACCAGCAGCTGCTCTTTTTTTCTGGGCTGTGCAGAGAATGCAGCAAGTGTGAGTTCTACTGCAGGAGAAAATCTGATGAGAAGGAATACAAACAACAGTTTTAGAGGTGGGCAGGGATCTGGAAGGGTAAGTGAGGGGGGGGGAAGCTGTGAAGTAAAACTAGTGGCAATATGTGGTTAAAAGAGGAAATGCTGAGGAATAAAATTCTGCATTGATCAAGCAATGTGGGGGTTTAGCCTTAATTTCTAGCAACAATTCTTTTAAATCCAATTCTACAGAGGAGACTAAAGCAAGAGGCCAAGAAAAAACTTCCTGGCTGCCTTTATCTGACATTACGATGAAGTTAAGAGGTTTTATAAATTCTTGATTGAATTATTAGGAACTTGGGTTTCATGTGTTAGAAAAAGCCTTCTGCATAACAATTTCAACTTTATAATTATAAGGTCTCATTGGGGGTACCATGCTGATTATATCAGACATTTACTAGGTGAGAAAACAGGCTCAGAGAGTATAATGACAAACTCAAGGTCACATGGATTGAAAATGACAGGGCTGGAACTTAAGAAAAGGCATGTACTTTTTCAACTCATTCTCATTGTCTGTCTATATTGCAATAGAGAGTGAGCCTAGCAGGTTTCAGTTACACAATCCAAGTTTATTCATAGCTTTGCAGTTTGTTCTGATGCAATCTGTCCATGGTCCAGACATTTTCCTAAGCTTGAGTGCCTTTACATGAAATGCTAAGAAGAGGTTGCTGACAAGGCCATCCATTTGTGGTAAAGGATCCCTGGATGCCACAGCAAAAGCAAAGGACACCAGACTGGGGCATTGGGACGATTGGGACTTACTCCAACTCTGACCTGTTCGGGCCAGAGACGTCCTTCTCTCTGGATCCCACAGGTATTCATTCAAGACCTGTAATTTCTGCCACCAGGCATTGCCTGTTGGCTGACTCTGACCCTCTTCCTCCTCTTTTTCCTCCTCTTCTTCCTCTTCTTTCTCCTCCTCCTCGTCTTTCTCGTCCTCCAAATTGGATACCACCATTACTGAAGCCTCTTCTTCTGCTTCTTCCTCTTCATCTGCCAAATAATTCTGGTTCACTTCATCCTGATCATCCTGAAATAGTAACAAACACACCCCCTCCTTTTGAAAAAATTCCAATGGCGTATCCCATCAACCAAAAAGAAATGAAAACAACTCAACATTTGGTATATTTGAGTATAAACATACTTGTTATTATAAGAGGCAGAATTTTGTTCTGTTTTGTGGAGAAAATATCCTTTTTAGTGACCCATTTTGACTTAATATTCTTTCCATGGAGGTGCAAGTTTTATTTTCAACTTCAGGTGTTTGGATTCTTCTCCATCTCTGTTCCCAGGATTTGACTTCCTGCTTAACTTCATCTTGACTTGTCAGGCCAGAGCTGAGCTTACACTAGAGGATGGAGTTGTCCTAGATATTTGTGTCCTGTCCGTGATGACAAACTTCCTATCCAAGCCAGCTTCATCCTAACACTCTGTACACTTCCAGCTGCTTAACCTCACCATCCCAAATTGTATCTAAAAATAGCCTGGTACAGACATCAGGAGGAGAGGGCAACTGCTGCACCCTTCCTCAAAACTTAGACTGCCTTCCCCAAAGAATCAAGAGATAGGGCGTTATTTGCCACATCTCTGACAACTGCCCTCACTGTAACTTCCTCCTGTCTTAAGCTTGTTGAATAGCTCAGTTGAAGCTGGGACCCCAACTGATACCTTAGGCTAAAAAGGCTGCTTACATACATATTGTGTATGTAGTAAGTACACAGCACATATTTGTTGACTGATCACAGCCATTACTTGAGATTTTAAATTAAGATCTTCTCTGCGCGGTCCTAAAATAATTAACTGCCACTACTACCCACCCCCCCCCCAAAAAAAAAGGGAAAAACTCAGGCTTCACTACATGTTTTTTCAGATGTCTCTCAGTCACAGGCTGGGGAGTTGTATCTTTGCTCTTTGGGGAGTTTGCCAAGGCTCAGTGCAGCAGGAGAAAATAAGGCCACACTCCTTCTCTTTGCTGTCCAAGTCTGAAGAGTGGTGGGGCCTATGCACCTGTTGGGGTCAGATGCATCAAATACTAGAGACCAGGGGCTCCATGCTGCCCCTCCCAGCCTGATTCTTCAAAGGCCACTTAGAGGGCACTCAGCTCCACATTCTGTCTTTGGGATGAGGAGGGTCAGAAAACAGAATTGTTCAGTATCATTAAGAGTGATTCAGAATGACAAGGCTCCACTCTGAGCATTCAGCCTGCCTGGCACTATCTAGCTCTTGATTATAAGCACTCTTGAATTGCTTTCTAATTTGTCCAAATATATATCTCTACGTCACACACCGTCTCAGAACTAATTAGGACCTTCAAGATTTGCTTGTCACTCTGAGGCCCAGAGAGGCAGCAGGATCTAGCCAGAACCATGCAGCAAGTTAATGACAGAGTTGACAGTCTCAGAACCTATGTCTCTTGATAGTCTGGATAATGATGTTTCTGTCCATCACACTAAGTGAAGGTAGCTAGAGATAACTTAGCAGGTTTATGATGCACAGTGCTTTATGTTCTGTATTTCTAACAGATTGTAGGTGTTTATAATAAAGGATTTCTGACTCTGACTTTAACTCCCAGTAGAAGGCTTGGGAAAATAAAACACATTTGTCACTCAATGATGGATATATTTATACATTTTTTCACTTTCTTTCACTTGTTGTGTGAACCTGTGTACATATTGGGTCTTTTGAACTGTATTTTCATCATGTGGGGAAAAGGTCTGTATTTTCTAACCCCTTACTGACCGTACGTAATGTGAAGCCCATTGCTAGGTACCCAATGGGTGCTGACCAAATATTGATGGTAGCTGCATTACTTAAAATCTGGAGTGATGATGTCACAGAGCCTGTGGCCCTAAGCTTGACATTCTTGTATTAGAATAGGTGGTCATTATGGCTATGAGAATCTACTGTACCTGGGAATCACAGAGAATTTTAAGTGTATTTCATTGTGGAGGAATTTGTCCTTCTTTTATATTTTCTGGACAACTTCCTTTTCTCAACTTGTTATCTAATACCTGCCTTCCATTTCTGCTCTGTGGAGGAAGTAGTTGGCTTTGGCCTTGGCCTTATCTTATTTGTAGACATGAGATCTCTTGATGATCCCATTAAAAATGGCTTGTTATTAAAGCCTTGTCCTCCTGGGAGTAATTAATCTTCTTAGGATTAGTTCCATTGATAGCCCCAACCCTCCTGACACACCTCCTATACTGCCTAAGCCTTTGGGAACCTCCAATAACTTTTTTTCTTTTTGATTGTTGCCAGGTATAGTGGAATATTACATTGAATGAGTGAGGTCTACCCAGAAAGTTTCTCATGAATTAAATTCCGTATTTTAAAATCCACTTTTGTGTAACTGTTTAGCAAAAAACTGTAGGAGATCCTTTGACATTGAGAATGCTTATCCTCAAGGGTCTGTTATTTTTTAGTTTTCTGAAGTGGCAATATCCTCATGTGTTAGTTGTGTGAGTGAGGGTGCAGGGATGTGGCAAGTGTGTTCTAGGGCCATCACGTTTCCCTAAAAGGGAAACGTCCGAAGGACAGAGGGTAGCTCCATTTTGAGCAGTCTAAATATATAAACATACAAACAAATATATAAACAAACAGCATGACCCAAAGGATAAATTTGTGCCCTACATTGAATAACATTCTATAAATATAGGAACGACTGGTTAATTTTAAGAAAAATTAGCACACAATCACAGAAAATAATTCATTTTCAATTTGATGTAGTACAAATTACATGCTCCCTTGATAACATTCAAAATCCAAACCATTGACAGATACTTGAAATTACACGCAATGTCTTAGCAACATTGCATAGAAAAGAAGCCAAATAAGGAATAGTTACATATGCTCTACAGATTTCGACTACTCTGAGAGCTACAAGAGGCTTTGACAATGTGAAGAGAAAGATTCTATAAATGGTGACTAGAAAGCAAACGGTAAGCCGCTGCAGGTTGAGAGGGTTAGAAGAATTCCTGTTTTCTTCTGCAGGCCGTTGACAATTTTCATTTTACTCTCTAGTTGTGTAAGTGGCTGTACTTAAAGAAAAATGGATCCAATTTTATTTCCTTCCAGAGCTCAAATTAAATTCTCTATGGTGACGATTTAAGAGCAACCCGGGTCCAAAGTACTGTGTGTGACATATGCAAAAAACTTTTGGATCAAGTGAGTTTGTAATACACCCTGAAGATAACTCATGAAATCAAAGGTGTGTGTGTGTGAGGTGAGGGTGGGGTAGTAGGCAAAATGGCAATGGGTGGTGACAGATCAAGAACACAGAAATTCACATAGAGAAAATAGAGTGGAAAGAGCATAAGATTAGAATCAAGGAGACTTGCATTTTCACTTTGGCTCCTCTAATACTAGTAAGCCATTCAGGTGTTCTGAGCCTCTTTTACATAATGAAAGAGTCTATGACTTTAGCTATAGCTTGAACTTTCTGCTTTAGAAAAAGAACAGCTGGTTTCTAAGAAGCTACCAACTAAAAGGACTAACAGCTGGGTAGGCAGTACCTTTCATTTCTACTTTTCCTTATCTAGATTTCTTGCTATCAGAATGAAACTCGTATTCCCAGAATCCAAAACATCTGTTTAAATTATAGACTCCCAAAAAGAACTTAAAGTTCCTTATTCTCTGATAATTTCCCCTTCCCATAGCTTTGTTCCTCAAGAGGGGCTTGCTTCTACCAATGAGCAGCTTAGGTTGTCCTGTGATGCTGGGAGTCACTACTCCTTGAAATGCCAAATTTCCCTGAACTTGACTGTTTATCTTCCAAAGAGAGACAGTCCTAAGCCAAGGCCTATGCAGCCCTCAACCAACCCCCTTAAAAACAAGCGGAGCAGCAAATAGTCTGCTCCCTGAGACTCACAAGTCTGTAGCGAGAACCGTAAGGAAAGGCCGGAGCCCTTCTGGAGCGGAGTTGCCTTCTCATGGCTGCTCAGTGGGCGAAGGCACGACAGAGGCAGACAAGCGGGTGAGAGTCCTGAAGCTTCTGTTAGTACAAGAGATACTGGTTGCTGGGGACACTTGGCGCCTGGTAAAAGTGAACCCTCCTGGCATAAACCCTTCCCCAAAATAATCTAACATGCTCCTCTCTCATTGGTTGGCCCCTTCCCTGAATCAAGGGAAAGCCCTTATGGAAAAGCAAGCTCATCATTACAGGGAGGGGGGAGATATTCTGGGTCACAAGGATGAGCGACTCACCTCCCCCCTCCATGTGTCTTTCCACCCCTTTCCATTTTTCAGTGCCTAAGATATGATGGGCTCAATGGAAATCTTAAGTCATATTCTTCTCAATTGAGAGTTGGATATCACTGTGTGCAGGAGGTGGGGCATGGGTGGGAGTTGGGGGTGAGGGGGAGGTGGCCAAGAATAACTTGCTTTTTTCATAAGGCTGATCTCATGCAAAAGGATCTAGGGTGTCAGGAAAATTCCCTCTGCCTGCCCCCCCCCCACGTATTCTAAGCCACCTACAATATTCCTTATTTGTGACAATTCATGAGCTTCTTAAAGTGAATTGAGGGGCCAGGCTCCTGCTTTGCTCCTCCCAGTCCCAAAGAGGGTCTTGCACATAAAGAAACCTTTTCTAGCCCACATGTCAGAGTAGCCTCATCAGTCACTGCCCCTCAAACACACACCCCTTGGAATCCTGGCCAAATTTCTGTAGTGGTTGGGATCTATATTTATCCCTTAACATCAGGGTAGGGAACAAGCCAGAACTTTGCAGTGTCAGTTTCCCAGACATATATAAATCCTGAAGCCAATGTAGGACCCAACAAAAGAAAAAATAGTTGCAATGGTCATGGACATTATATAGCATTTTTGGTCAGTTTGGGCTACCTTACTGGAGCCTGAGTATCTAAAAAGGCTTGTATGTAGTTTTTTTTTTTTATTATTTCTTTGCAAATCATCATTCATTCTACCCACAATGCTGGGAATATTGCAGATACTAAAATTCTGGGCAAATTCATAACCAAGGATAGGGTAGCTTTAGCCATTACCTCAATTCTAGGGTATTCTGATGAAAATGATTTCATTTATGGTTAATTTTAAATAAAGGCTCCATTTACTAGAAGGTTTCTAATCAGAGGGCTCTTCCTTGACAGAGTCTGTCTCCACAGTCTTTGAAGAGAAACAAATTACTTTCCAAAAAGACCAACTCATTCCATTCTTTGAATTTTAATAAAAGGAAGTACATCCAAGGGGATAACCTGGTCTTAGTTTAGTTCTATCTCTTATACCTTCACTCAATTTTTTGCATGATTCTCATTGTTAAATATAAGAATCCTGATATCCTTGAAAGTCTAAACAATAAAAGATTGATTAATTGGTCTTATTTTACTGTATTAGAATGGGGTCATTTTAGCAATAGTTTGAAAGCCAAGAGTAGGGAGGACAAAAAGGGGGTTGGAAGGATATAACTTCAGGTAACAAAATATTCCATTGTCTAAAATCTCTTGTTCCTTAACATGCACACACACACACACACACACATACAACTCACTATGAATAAGATAATCAAATCTCATAGGTTGGAAAAACAGAAGTTTGCATGACTTCACTTTCACTCTCATGATTATGGGAAAAGGAGACATCGTTCCTGCCAATTTTGAAAAAAGCAATATGTTTAACAGTGCAGCAGAATGGAACTGAAGTTGCCAGTGAGGCTGCAAATGAAGCTATAGCTACAAAAGGTAAGAGAGGGTAGAGAAATGAGAGGCTTTGAATACAACAGCATATTTAAAGGCAAAATTTTCTTTTTTTTTTATTTTTTTTTTAAAGATTTATTTTTATTATTTTTTGATTGGAAAGGCGGATATACAGAGAGGAGAGACAGAGAGGAAGATCTTCCATCCGATGATTCACTCCCCAAGTGAGCGCAACGGGCCGATACTATGCCGATCCGAAGCCAGGAGCCTCTTCCGGGTCTCCCACGCGGGTGCAGGTTCCCAAAGCCTTGGGCCGTCCTCGACTGCTTTCCCAGGCCACAGGCAGGGAGCTGGAAGGGAAGCGGGGCTGCCGGGATTAGAACCGGCGCCCATATGGGATCCCGGGCGTGCAAAGCGAGGACCTTTAACCACTTGCGCCACCGCGCCGGGCCCTAAAGGCAAAATTTTCAAGAATCTAAAAGTGTATACCCATTTGTTGGGCACAGATATTTAGAAGCTGCTTGTGTAAGCTCCTTGTTCTGGTTACCAATTTCGGTAAAATCACATTTTGACTGCTGAAAATGGAAACTGGGAGTCTTATGGAATGGGTCCTTCTGCCCCAATGGAAGAGAGAGACTGTAACACATTGCAGAGAGTATGTGACTACCATAAGATGCTGTCTGTTCTTGTGTGCGTCATTTCCACAACTGGTGCATTTGTGCATGGGGCAAGAAGAGCAGTGCGACAGAGTGTCCCATGGCCATGCAAGAGAAACTACATCCTCAGGGAGACTCTGGATGGTTGCATGCAGTGGAGCTTGAGTCGTTTGCCATTGGAGTCACTCAGGCATTACTGAGCATTTTTCAAAATCCCACTCATTTCCAGCATTAGTGACCTGCAGACTCTGAATATTTATTTTTAAGATGTATTTAATTATTTGAAAGTCAGAGCTACACACACACACACACTGAGAGAGAGAGAGAGAGAGAGAGAGAGAGAGAGAGAGAGAGAGAAACAAAAGGAGAGAAAGAGATTTTCATTCTCCAGATGCCTACAACATCTGAGGCTGGGCCTAGCCAAAGCCAGGAGCCAGGAGTTTCTCCTGGTCTCCCATATAGGTGGTGAGGTCCCAATCATACATGTGGCCCACCTTTTGCTGCTTTCTGTAAGCCATTAACAGGGATATGGAGCAGAAATGGAGCAGCCAGGACTCAAACTGGGGCCCAAATAGGATGCTGGCATTGCAAGTAGTGGCTTAGCCCAATACACAATGACACTGGCCCTGACTGTGAATGAATTAACAGAATTCCAAGTCAAGCTAGAGCCTAAGACTGCCTAGCATACAGCATGCTCTTCACAGTGCATGGGAAGTCTTCCTGGGGTAGGCAATTTGGGCTGGAGCTTGATGGGCAGTCCTTCAAGCTGGGCTGGAAGAGTTATACTGCCCAACTTTGAGGATGCCAGTATGGTCCCTAGTGCCCAAAGTTCCCCCTCCTGAACAGTTAGCCTCTGAGTAGTGGCCAGAAGGCAGAGCTAGCAGGGATGCTGGCTAAAGCCAGAGGGTTTCCTTGACCTCAGTGGTCTAGATAACGGCTCCAGGTATCTGCTTCACTGAGTTCCAGGAAGAATCCTTAGCACATCACATTCCTGAGCTCAGTTTCCATCTGTCAAGTAAAGCTGTGGAGTGAGAAATGCTTTCATTTCGAGGGACTGAAGGCTATGGTTGTATGACTGCAATATGGCCAGACAGCTAGGGGGAAAATGAAGGCTTGGGAAATTGTGTGGTCCATGCGGAGAGTCACCCCTATTTCCAAGGGCTAAAAGGCACTAATTAATATAAGGCAGGCAAGAAAGTTTGATTCAAAACAAACAACTAATTGGAATTAAGAGATGAAGTGTGCAGAGGCCCCTAATGAATGGATATGTTAATTGGTCTTCTTTGCTATCCCCTTGGGCTTTAGCTGTGACATAGACTAGCCTATTAGATGTCTGCTCTGTAATAGCTGCTGAACGCTGGGACCCTTTATTGCCATGGTAACATTGATGTCTAGAGTCTAGCTAAGCCCTGGATCTCTTAATTTACTACTCAGGCAGTTACAATTCTTTCGGTTTTATTATTCTTCATGCCCTGGGTGCTGGAGTGGCAGTGAATCATGCTTATTCATCCTCTGCACCACCCACGGTGTCTTTGAATAAGTCTGGGTGTCTCTTACTGTGTGTGATGAACTGATTATTAAGTTAGAGGTTATTTCTGCCTTAGCTAGACCGGTGCCTCTCAGAAACCCAGTGCATCTCTCTAACTTACAACTCTTTATTTACCTGCTGCCTCAGATGGCTTTTGGCAAGAAGAGTGATGACACTGCAGTGGACCTGCAGAGGCCCAGCCTTCTGGAAGTCTCTGCTTGCTTGGTGGGAGGGGAAAAGCAGCATAATATAGGTGAGGTAACATGGGCTGGGAGAATAAACCTTGGAAATACATGCTGTCAAAAATGGAGCAGTCAGAGGTGAGTGAAGTCATCTCAGAGAGCGATGGCTGGAAATGGTGTTGCTAGAAATTTTAGTTTCTCCAGGTAAGGGGCTTTAACCTGTATGGGAAAGGACATCATTTGTTCTTAGTGACACTAAAGGAAAGAAGCAGTCCCCAAGGACTGGAAGGTAGAGGGGGACGAATTTCACATTATTTACGTTAATTTTTAAAAAGACATTTGTTTAAAAAGCTGCTCAAAGAAACCAACTATGACTGAAAGTTAGTAAGCAAGTTGTCATTGGAGCTGCCCAAACTTTGCTATCTCAGTAGAGAAGCTCTGAGCAGCCCCTGCCAAGGGGTGAGAAGCAAGCATGGTGCAGCTCTTTGCTGGATGACCTCTTAGCACTTTTCCAGACTTGAATTTTTGTGTATTTATATATGCTGGTGTGGTTTAATTTATCAGGATGGATGCTAAACTTAGATGATACTTTTTATATACATGTGCCTGATTCAACAGCACATATACTAAAACAGGGATGACACTCTGTGTGTCTGTGCCTGATTCTAGTCATAAATGAAACATTGCAACAGGTGCAGAGGTGTTTTCCTGACACTTCTCATGCTAATAAATGGAGAGCAAATTAACAATAGAGCCCTAAATTGCAAATGACCCTTAAGAACATGAGAGAATCTCTGAATTTTGGGAATTTGTGGGGGCTTTTTTGTTTTGCTTTTTTTTTTTTTTTTCTTTGCTGCAACATTTCTCTCACTGGGCATTCTCATGGTGGCAATTGGGAGACTACAGAGAAAACTGTGTTCTACATGAATTTGGACTACATTAACAAGGCATTTTCCTGTTTAATGGAGGGTGTAGAGGGGGCTTCTTGAACTAATTATGTT